GGCCGAGGCCTTCTAAGAAGCAGGGTGCTTCGAAGAAGCCTTCCCCCTCCCCCTACCCCCTTTTGCGCGCCGCCAAGTTTTAGCAGCCACGGTCTTCGCAGCCCCCGCCCAGCTCTCGAGAGGAGCCCGACGACGTGGAGAGCCTGGACGGGAGCGGCAGCTGCTTCTCCGGGGGGCTGAACGTGAGCAGCGCCGCCGGGGGCGCCGGCGTGGGGGACCTCAGGGACTTCGAGGAGGTCCCGGTCGAGGTCCTCGACCTGATGGTCGACGAGAACGAGCTGCTGCAGGAGGCCTTGGCATCGCTCGGACGTGTGCATTTTTCCTTCGGCGGGGACCATCGAGGAGCATCCTTGATCATGTGGCAAAAAAACCACGCACGAGACCGGGAAAAACACAGGAAATGGACGTCCGAGCGATGGCCAGAGGCCGTGGCGGCCGAGAAGAGCAAGGCCAGAGAGATGCAGGAGGCCGTGGCGGCCAAGGAGGCCAAGATCGAAAACCTGAGGGAGAACCTGACCGAGATCCAGGAGGAGCTCGATGCCGCGAAGGAGGCCAAGCGCCCGCTGCACAACACCATGCAGCAGGCCTTGATCGATGAGCTCACGGAGCAGCTCAACTCCCTGAGGGAGGCAAACAGGATTGCGGAGGCCAGGGCAGTGGATTTGATGTGCGCGCTGAGGTCGGAGGAGATGAGGCACAAGAGGGAGAAGGATGAGCTCATGCAGAGGCTGCGGGGGTGCGAGCACATCAGCGAGGAGGACCGGGACGCGGAGATGAACGAGCTCAGGGAGAGGCTGCTGAGCACGGAACAGGCGGCTGGGCCGCCCCGCGCGGCGGCAACCGAGCCATCCCCCGCCCAGCCTCGATCCTCGAGCCTCGATCCTCGAGCCTCGATCCTCGAGCCTCGATCCTCGAGCCTCGATCCTCGAACATCCTCCTTCTCCTCCTCCCTCTCCTCGAGCCTCGACCCTTGAAGAGGACAAGAACGTGCTCGCGAACGACTTCGAGTGGAAGGAGCTCCAGTGGAAGACCCAGGTCGAGGACCAGGGGAACGCTATCCTGGCGGCTCGCTCCTCCCTCCTCCCTCAGCGCCGATCCCTCCTCGCCGCTCCCACTTCCTCCTCCTCCTCTTCACCCTCCTCCCGCTCCTCCTCCTCCTCCTCCTCCTCCTCCTCCTCCTCCTGCAGCAGCAGCACCGCAAGGTCCTGCAGTTCATTTCGTGGGCGGCATTGCAGGTGGTGGCTCGCAAACAATGGGGATGCGACGTGGAGGTCCCCAGGCCACCTTGCGAGCAGGACAGGGCCATTGTGGTGGCACGTAGTACGGACCATGTCCTGGCTTAGTGTGCCAGCCTCAGGCGGTACCGATGTACCCAATGCGGAGTCACGGCTACAACAGGCTCCTCCTTCAATTCGCTGCAAACTGGCTCTCATCGTGTATGTCGGCCTTCGCGTGTTGCCAGTGCTTTCAGCGCCGAGTACTTCCGCACCTTTGGCGAGGGTTGGGTCCTCTGCAGCGACCATAGGGCTGGCATGGCCATGGGCGCGGCCTTGGCGCTTGAAGGGAGCTCGCAGCCCTCGGTTCCCGCGGCCCTGGTGCCACCTGCCCTGGCCGAGGAGGTAGGTGGCGCCTTCGCCGCGCTTGGGCACGACGTGTTCAGGGGCAACGGTGTCTACTGTTGCAGACGCTGCGGTTCCCACTGTGCTGCGGGTGATGTCCGCACAGTGAGAAAGCTTGGCTAGAGGTGCGAAGGGCTCTCGCCCAACGAGTCCACGCGCCGCAACCAGCAAGATGCGATCAGGCGAGTCGAGAAGGGGCTGGCGCCTCGTGCCCGCCGCACCCCAGTGGCGCTGCTCCCGCAGGGTGGCCCTTCTCGCAGCCACGCGGCGCAATAATCGACCATGTCGTGATTCGCTGCCGTTCCGTGGCCGGCTGGTGGCACGGCGTCTTTTTCGGCGGCGGCGCCTGCTTCGTCGGCGGCGTGTTGGCCTACGTCGGCGCGCCCCTGGCCCTCTCCCTCTGCGAGTGGGTCTTGTCCCACACTGTCTTCGACCTTGCCCTCTCCGCCATCGCGGCGTGAGGGCGCCGCGCTGTCGCTCGTCGGCCGCCCCCGCGGCCGTTCGGGAGACTCGCGCGAGGCGCCGCGCTCCTCCTCCTCCTCCTCCTCCTCCTCCTCCTCTTCCTCCTCCTCCTCCCCTCCTCTTCCTCCTCCCCTCCTCCTCCTCCGCCTCCTCCCCCTCCTCCCTCCCCCCTCCTCCTCCCTCCTCCTCCTCCTCCTTCCTCTTCCTTCTCCTCCTCCTCTTCCCCTTCCCCTCCTCCTCCTCCTCCTCCTCCTCCTCCTCCTCCTCCTCCTCCCCCCCCATCCTCCTCCTCCACCTCCTCCTCCTGTTTCTTGTCCTCTTTCTCCTCCTCCTCCTCCTCCTCCTCCTCCTCCTCCCCCTCCTCCTCTTCCTCCTCACCCCCCTCCTCCTCCCCCTCCTCCTCCTCTTCCCCTCCGCCGTAGCCATTTTGACTCAACCTATTTTGGCTCAAATTCAAACCGCGGGGCCTCGTCGGTTTGAGCTTTGTCGCTGCCGTGAGGTCTGGATCAAGGCCTCCTGCCTCGCAGGTTTGCGCCGCGCGCGTCAGCCTCTTGGGTTGCCAAAGACCTGCCCCGCCGTCGCCGCGCTCGCGCACAGCGCGCCCGGAGTGTCTCTCCCCGCCCATCGACGAGGCCGTCGCCAAGTTCACCAGTGATCACGACGAGGCCGGCACCTTCCCCACCCAGGAGGCCATGGACATCGTCGTATCCTCCAAGGGTGCCTCCCGTTCTGGCAAAGGTGCTGCCCCTCCTCGCCCTGGTGTTCCTGTTCTCCCTGGTCTCAAACGTCGGGCCCTTCCACTTGCTGGCGCGCCTGATGGTGAGGGCCCCCCGCCCGACCTCGGCGACGCAGACGGCGCGTCCGAGGCTTGCATCCAGCAGTGCTGTGAAGACGTCTTCCACCCTATGCTGGACCAGATTCGCGAGGCGAGTCTCTCTCGGAGACGATCACCTCCAACCTGTCCGAGTCGAACAAGTCTGCCCTTGCCTTGGTCGACCAGCTGCGTACACAGTTGGCCCAGCAGCCCGCCCAGATCGACCAGCAGATTCTTGCAACGGCGCGCATCGGGTTGGTGCATCTGCGAGGCGCTTACAGTCCCAGCTCGACGATCACCACAATCATATTCAGAATGCTTGCGCGCGTGGCTCTAAGATTGAGGAAGAGATGGCTGCGATGCGTGAACAGATGTCGGAGTTCAGGAAGTCCCTGTGTTCGGCGGAGTCTCGGCCTCGTGCGCCGGTGCTCCGAGACGAAGGTCTTGATCGTGACATTGACGCCACCTTGGTCGTTGCTCTCGCCCAGCGACCGACCGCGGCCAGCTCCGTCACCGCGGTCCTTGCGCCTTGGATCACCTCCCCCGGTATTGCCGCCGACGCGTTCTCCCTCGAAGCCGTCGGTCAGGAGCCCACTAAGCAGTGCCATATCAAGTCCAAGGGGCTGGTCGCCCCTGCGTCTCGGATGGCTGCCAAAGTTGCGTCGTCGCTGCATGCCAACGGCGCATGGGGCTCCTGGCCCATGCCCCTGGGTCGGAGAGATGCCGCGTTCACCTGGGGCCCGACGAGTCGCCGAGACAGATTCGAAGTGAGACCCTCTTGCGTCGTGCTCGTGCCTTGGTCTCTGAAGCTCCTCCCAATCTTCGGCTGTTCTCGGATCGTCAGAGAGCCGCCTTGTCTGTGGGGTTGGGCCGCATCATGCGCGCCCGGGTGCGCCCTGATGCCCGCGCCAAGATCTTCTGGGATGCGCAGAAGCTGGAGAAGCACGGCAACGTCAAGCAGGAGTTTATCCACTTGCTCGCCCCGCTTGTTGCACTCGAGTCCGAGCCCGCGTGGTGTCGCTTATGTCTGGAAGTTGTTCAGATGCACGTCGCCTTCACCTCGGTCGCCGTCTCCATCGCTACGAGCAGTTACTTGGAACGCGAGGGTCCTATTGCAGCATGCTGTGAATCGGGGGGCGGTGCAGTTTTACTACCTGATGAGTTTTTTTAGCCAGCCTCTTCGATTGTTTGTTTGCAAGGAGTTCGTCAGGACGAGCTACAGCTACGCGCGTTATTGCAGCCCCTGGCCGCTCGCGTGACGGTTCACTCGTCGTTTTGTGACGAGGCGGCTGGGGATCGCATTCGCGGTGGGGCGGCTGTTCTTCTCCTTGAGTTTCAGCGGGCGGCTGGAGAACGTGCGCGCAGTCACGCGGTGGCTTTTGTACCTGGTAGAGTTTTGCATGTGAGCGCGAGATGTTGCGGTGCGCCTTGACATCTGCAACGCGCGCAGCCATGGGATTTCTAGACTGGAGGCGGGCGAGGTCGCGCGGGCGGTCGTCGCTGCCAAGACTGCTGCTGCTCGAGCCCCGTCTCAGAGGCTCGCCACTGTGGCGGGGAACTTCCGTTTCGCGGCGGAAGCGGCGGTGCCGCGCCGCACGCCGCGGGCAGCGGCCCGTCGCGCCGCGAGGCAGCTCCGCGCGCAGGCTTCTTGCAGGCGCCGTGCCCCCTCGCAGCTTGTCCAGATGGAGCGCGGCATGCCCTCGCACTATGAGGGAAAAGGCCAACTCGGAAGCACCGATGGTTGGCATGTCTGCGCCTCTCCCCGGCCGGCGGGTCTGCCGGCGTCAGCTCCGGGGCGCCGCTGTTTTCTCGGTCGCGCAGGAGTCGGATCTGCTGATCTCGGATCATGCGACTGCGCTCTTCACGCCCGCGCCCCGCTCCGCTCGCCCTCCTGAGGACCGGCCTCTCGCCAGACACCTCTCTCGTGAATCTTAGCATCGAGAGCGGCTGCAGGCTATGATTGAGCGCGCCGATTGGGCCAGTCTGCCCCCGCCCTTCCGCCTGGAGCAGTGCAATCATCTTGCGAGAGGAGCTGATAGGGAAACTCGCGATTTGGCATTCTGTCATCGTCCGCACCATCCGCCCACCCTGCTGCAGCTTGCTCGATCGCTGACCCGTGCGATTTGGCGCCAAGATGTGCTTCTTGCGTGGAAGCTACTCGAGTCCCACCCCTTCGCCTCTGACTGCATCCAGGGAGTCGGGTCGAATGCCGTCCTCGTCCACCCTGGAACCTTCCACGCGTGGTCGGATTGCCTCCAGCGTGAGGCTGCGAAACGTGCCCGCGCAGAGCTTCAGAGGCGTGTTAATGTGAGGGCGATAGCAGGAGCACGACGGTTTAGGAGAGGGCCCCTGAGAAGCGCGCTCCACTTTGGCCCCCTCTCAATCGCAGTGTGCGCCCGTCGGCGGTGACCGATGATCAGGGCCAGGCAGCGCTCGACCCGTCAGACCGAACCGACTTCTTGAAGCGCTACAGGGGCCTCGTATGTTCCAGAAAGTTTTGGGATTCGGAGCTCGCCAAAACGCGCGTGACACTGCGTCTCCCCGACGCCGACGACTTGAATTTACCTCCGCCGATCCCCGAGCTGACGCGGCAGGTCCTTGCGAGGGCCATAGATTTTGCGACGGGTTGCGACGGGCTGTCCCTTCGCGATCTCTATCCTCTGGGAATGTCCCGAATGGATCATGCGTGGGCAGGCTCCGTTCGACTCTGCGAGCCTCGCCCTCCATGCGTTCCTCGCCAAGAACGGTGGTGATGATGAAACCCAGGCGGGTCAGATTGAACGCGCCGTCGATCAAGTTCGCGCGTTTGGGTTGCGCAACTGTGATGTGAAAATCCTGTCCGCCACGATGACTTCGGCCGTCCGCCCCGCCCTCCAGGCGGTCGCCCCCCTTTGCCGGCGAGGCTTCGTTCCCCGGAGCAAGTTTGGTTTCAGCGCCATGGAGCTCGACGTCTCGAGTCGGCAGCTCTCGCGTACTCCTCGCGGGTCGCGCGCCGTGTCCGTCTTCTGCTGTCTGGATCATGGCCGCCAGGCCTTCCCGTCGCTGAACCAAGAGTTCCTGTTATGTCTCTTTAATGTCTTGCCCATTCCTGGTGCGTTCCTTTCGTTCGTGGGCTTCCTCTACCGGGCCATTGAGGGCATCGCGAT